AGACTGGTTACCTGTCCAGGTGAACCTGCCTTCACCCTGAGTCAGCTGGGATAGACTCCAGCCCCCCATGACCCTGGTGAGGATTAAGGTGTAGAGATGATGGATGGATTTGCAACCTGTTCCATGATGGTGCTGACATACATGTGACACTTTAAACGGTACAAATAAAGTGAGAACAATTCAGTAGATGTGACATGTTTAGGTAGTTTTCATTAAGATTCTCCTGCATCAGTGAACGAGTTTCCGTTCAGAAACCTGTAAACCAGAGACCTCCAACTCCAGTCCTTGTGAGCTACTGTCCTGCAGGTTTTGGACATTTCCGTCCTGCAACACACCTGACTCAAATTAATGGCTCTCCAACAGCTTGTTGTCAAGTTCTACACAAGTCTGTTAATGATCCATTCATTTGAGAGTAGCTCATGAGGACCAGAGTTGGAGATCTCTGCTGTAAACTCATAATGAAGTACTTAAGGAGATGCACTTTGCGGTAAATCATAGGTTTGAAGGTACAAATGTTAGTTTTACATGACAAAGAACTTTATTGATCCCTTTGGTCGGGTACCTCAGGGAAATCATATCTAATCTTCCTTGAGGTACCCGACCAAAGGGATTAATAAAGTTCCATCTAGTCAAAGGATTTGGGTTTTTCAGATAAGTTGTTAGAAGAAGTTCAGTTCATCTCAGTTTCCTGCATCTACAGATGAATCATGGCTCCTACAATAAATCTAGTCTACGGTTATAAATACTACTGGATAGTCTGTAGTGCTGGAGGGGGATCTTCTGCAATCTTTCAGTAGCAAAGTTGGTCCTATTATTATAACAAAAGTACGAAATAACTCGTTTATCACTAATAAAACCAGCATGCAAACCTTTTTAAAGGCTTCCACCATGCTCAAAGCTGCACCCTAGACGAGGATTCTTGAAGTAAACTACAAAACAAAGATCCTAATTAAACTAAAAAAGAGCATCATATTAGGAAACACAAACAGAAATATACACACTTTATTTAGTGTACCGACGCCACAACAACAGATCCGTCGTAAAACCTCCACGAAGCCGTTCTCAGTTTTTTGTCGATGCCGCCGAAAAGCTGATGATTCCGCTTTCCGG